GCCTGGCTGAGAAGAGCATCACCTGCGAGTGAGTCTCGGCCGGCGTTCAGCACGAGGGGCGGAACGGAACGGCGTTAACCACAATATAAATCATGAGAGATGAAAATATGGATTTTATCGAGTGGCTTCAAAATGATATGCCAGCTATAGAAGTATTATCTATTGGGTAAATAAGAGCTGTCTATGTGACACAGGTTTTCAAAGGATAAATATTAGAGAGGAAGAGAGAGATCCTTCAGCGAGAGGCTCATATGAAAGTAGTGTTGGATTTTATTCTGAGGAAATTACAGCACTTGTGTGTCAAGTGCACGAGGACTGATGATCATTTCAATAGTGGGAGATGGAAGTGGTATCTGAGTAGTCAAATTTAAACAGTTCCCTGCTTTAGGCCATACCCTGAGCGCCACATCACACTCCTGCACGCAGCATGACCCAGCCTGCCCTCCCTGCCGCGGCGCTCGCCCGCTGCAGGGACAGAGAGCCCTGGCTGCCCCACTGCAACTTCTTACTCAACATAAAACATTGGATTTGTGCCAGAGCTGGGAATGCTATGAGGTGTCCCGAGTTCCAGCCCCTTGCTGGAACCGTTCGACACCGTTCCTACGTAACTGTTACGCTCTGCGTATGGATGAAGGTGGAAGAATAACAGAAGACATTACGTACCGGTCTCTCGGGTGACATAATTGATGAAATCCCCATGGGAATTTTGGCTCCAAAATTTCCTAGAGGGTGAAACAGCACAATGAGTTTGGAGACTAGAGAGTAGAAATAGTCATGCTTTACCAAGAACTCAGTGCTTTGTGTCCCCTAAGTATCTCCCACTAAAGCAAAGGGACCAAAGATGTTACCTGCTTAATTGCACCCACAAACTGGTTGGACCATGCAACACCTTTTCCCCCAAAGCTAAAAGCCCTGTTTCCTACTGCCACCTCTGCCCAGCCTTCTCCAGGAAATCCATTTTAAGACACAAAGATGGACTCTTGCCTCCAGAGCATGCAATGCTGCATGGCACGGTGAGGAGAGCCCCTGCCCGCGCCCAGCCAGCCTGCAGGCATGAACCTGATCCCTCTGAAAGCCATGCGCACGTGATCCCTGCCCTCCCTGGGAACCCTTCATCCCGTGCTGCCTGTGCAGCACCAGACCCCAGGCACAGTGTGCACATGGGCTCCCCGCACTGCCAAGTGAACGTGCACTAAAATTCAAGCCTTGGGAATAACAATTTTACTGAGGTCTCATCACACAGCCTGGGCCAACAGCAATGACAACCCTCTTTACCTTTGTTGGTGATGTTCTTCACTGGAGGGTCTTTCTGCACAGGGCTCAACGAGGCACTCTCGGCTGCAGAAGGACTCAGCTTCCCCGTCTCCCAGGAGGCCGTGTTTCTTGGGCTTGATAAGTAGTTGATGGGATGAGAGCAGTTCTGTAATGACAGGGAAGAGATATAAGACAGTGAAAACTGCAACGTGCACCGTCGCTTGATCCAGGTTCAACTCTAAAGACTGATTTCATCTACTCTGCCGCCCCTGAGACTTTGACTCCCATCCCATCAGGCTGCTGCCTGATCAGGGTGGATTATCTTTGGGTCTGCATTGTCCAACAGGACTGCAATGAAGGGAGACAAAAAATAAAAGAAATAAGGACCTCTTTCCAACATCACATCCTCAAAGCAGAGCAAACGCCCATTGGGCCCTGCTCTGGCGAGTGCCTGATGAGCAACAGTGGGCAGCAGGACTTGCCTGCAACTTACTGTGAACGAGAGCGCTTTCTTCTTCTCCTTCATCCTCTGGATGGCATTCCTCACCTGAAGCAGAGCAAGGGTGTTAGAGAGGGCCACAGCAGCTCGAGCAGAGCACGAAACCCTCCAGCAAGTCACAGAGAAAAAGCAGCCACTGTCCCTGGAATGCAGTGGGGCTGTGCTCTCTGTTGCACCTACTACAACCCCAGCTGCTACTACAACCCCAGCTGCCCCGGGCTGCTCACCAACTGCTCTGAGGAGCGACATCCCCAACCAGGGGCATCTCTTACCTCGCTGTTATAGATTGCATAGACCAGGAATATGTAGAGGCCCTGCAAGGAGAGAGCACAGGGAGGGTTAGAGACCTACAGCTGGTTCGTGCGACTTTGCAGGGGAGGACACGAGTCTGAGGAGCACTGGAACGGGTGAGGACCGGGGCTCCGGCAGCACAGTCTCGGCCACCCTCTCCCTGCCCACCGAACCGGCATTGTTGCGTGCACACACCGAGGACCAGCAAGCAATGACACCCTCTGCCACGATGAAAGGCTTGGCCACAGCTCCGTGTCCGTGTCCGGGGTGGGATGTGCTCCGGGAGAGTGGCCGGGGCAAGGCTGGAGTGAGCATCGCCTGGAGGCCACAGCCTGGGGCTAATTACAGCTCCAGACCAACGATTTTGGCCTTAAGGCAGCCCTATCTGGCCCACCAGATTTATGTCATATCTGTGGGGTGTTTGTTATCGCAGCTAGATAAATCAGCCGCAGCAAGAAAAGCAATCCATCTTGTCTTCAACGGGCCGCGCTCTTCATCTGCGAGCTCTTGGCAGGCATAATGGTAGCAGTACCCTGGCGCCGTGCCATGACCCGTCCTTCAGCCAGCAATGCTGGTCACTCCCCCAGCCCAGATTTCTGGTCGGGCTGCCAAGGCAGGTCTTCCTTGAAATAATCATTCTGGATGAGCGCGGGGAGAGGGGGGGAGCACTGAGGTCGGCTGGGAGGAGAGCAAGGGAGGAGAGGATAAAGTGGAGCCACTGCTCTGGAGGAGCCCACTCCTGCCCACGCTCCTGCTCACGCTCCTGCCCATGCTCCTGCCCATGCTCCTGCCCGCGCTCCTGCCCGCGCTCCTGCCCGCACTCTTGCCCCGGCCTCTGTGGCTCCCTGCTCACGGCAGGTCAGGCGCTGGGTGGCCACAGGCAAGAGCATGGCACGTGCCAGCACCCACAGGGTGGGATGGATGCTCCTGCCTGCTGTCCGTCTGTCCTGCTGCGCTCCGCACACCCTGCGCGGGAGCAATGCCGTCTCCAGCGCTGCCGGCTGTTGCTTTTGGGTCGCTCGGCTGAATTCCCGTGCTGCCTGGCTGCAGAAGTTGTCATGTTTGGTGTCGACGCACAGAGTAACCTTGAGGACGGGCTTTGGTTTCCAGAGATAAACAGAAAGCAGTCAAACAAACAAACAGCCGCAGCAGCAAAACCTTCCTGCACAACACCGGCGCCCGAAGCGGCGCGCTGGCCCTGAGGAAATCCCACGGCGATCCATGAGACAGTCACAAAGGGGCTGAAAGGGGCCCGTTCTGCCCCTGCTGCCTCTCAGCTCCACAGCTTCCCACCAGCATCCCAGTTTCTCTTCTGTGGCAATCTGCAAACCGCCCTGCCCTCGGTGGTTGCGGGGCAGAAGGCAAACGAGCCCAGCGTAGCCCTGGGCAAACCCTCGGCCAGCCGCACGACAGCCATGGCTCCTGCGGAGCTTTAGGAGAACGAAGAGGAGCAAAAGCAGCAATAACGTGGAGAGCAAGGGAAGAGAGCAAATCCTGATTTGTTCAGGTCCTGTCTCAGGTCCTGTCTCCCCCAAGGCAGATGTTGCGGTGTGTGAGAGTGGCAGGAGAGACATTGTCCAGAGGACACACATTCATTTCAGGCAAGGAGAGCTGATGCTGTATTTAATTACGGCTAGGACAGGCGTCCTGCCACCCTTCTGATCTCCTCGATAGCGGAGACGTGGAGAGGCAGTCCTTGCCTGGCCTTGGAACGGCCCATCGGAGAGCCGGCGGATGTGCGTGAGCAGCGCCCGGCCGCTGGGCCAGCGCCAGCCACAGGCAGAACAGCCCTGGAGCAACCACCCATCTTGTGCACGTGGTGATAACGCCCGAGTTTCACCCTGGGAGAGTGGGGCCAATGCTACGCTGAAACCGGCCAAGTGTGCCAGAGGGACACACTGCGAACTCTGCCGCTCCATACGTGAAAGCTACAGTGGGGGCCGTTTTCTACTGCATCCAAAGAAAAAGGGAGATGGGTGGAGAACTCTTTGGATCCCAATGGTTTGGAGGGCAGCACCCAGTTGCTCTCCTGACATCTATTCCCTGGAGTAGGATTTTTTCCTCGAGCACTGGACATGGGACTCTGAAAAACCTATCTGTGAATACCCAGTGCAAAGGGACAGGGCTGACCGCGGGGGCAGCCCCAGGCGCTACTTGTGCTGGTGTGGTCTGAGCCTGGGGGCTGGACAGGGTCCACCCGTGTCCCCTCTGCTGCTCCTGCCACCGGTGACTGCCCATCCGCCCCCGCCGTGGGACCCTTCCCTCCCGCACAGCGGTGTTCGGTGCTTCTTTAGCTCCATCTACAGCTCCTTTCTCTCCAGGTTTGGAAAGCCTTTGCCAACAAGGGGCTGATGCTCTGAGCAGCAGGTGGCAAGCGCCTCTTCTGGGACTTGTCACTGTCCCCGTGTGTCCCTGAGTTTCAGAGGCCCTGAGGTCCCGTCCCAGCTCAGCGCAGCGCTCAGCACTCCTGGCTGCTGCAGCCAATACAATTCGCTTTGCTCTCTTAACCACATACAGGCTGGTCAAAGTTTTAAACTCTTTTGAGGAAACCAGTAAAATTAGAAGCAAATATTAAGTATTGCTTTACACACCAGGGTTACTTTGTGCCCTATAGAGAGCCCTAGTAATACTAACATATTAACAACATGGCTGTGAAGTATGGAGCATTCAGGAGTCACAGCCATGGTCCTGGCAGACACCAAGACAAACAAACAGCCTTAAAATGTAGCCAGATGCTACCTGAAGAAGAGCGAAGAGGCTGAAGGAGATGACATGACTCACCCAAGGTCTTGCAAGTCAGAGCTAGAAACAGCACGCACACTTCCAGCCCCCCAACGCGAGGCTCCAATCACCACCCCACACTGCAAACCATTCCACCCAACACTCCTGCATCCCAGATCCCAGTGCAGCTCTCCTCTGGCACTGGGAGCATCTCTGGGGAGCAGCTGCGTGGCTGCAGACAATACAGATTTTAGGGGTGAAGATTTTCAGTCTTTGATTCTTAATCCTTCTTCTCTCATCTCCCTGCAGTACAGCTGACTTCCAGGCAAAGGGAAGGGGTTCTGCCTGTACAGCTCCTAGGACACAACCTGTAAGTACGTGTGAACATGAACCAGATGAAAACCACTCATCCCAGAACACCACCATCTGAGCAGCAATTGAGCACACTATGGCTGGAAGGAACCTGTGAGACGCTCTCCATGAACAGCCCTATTCTGACAGTGACGCTGGCACACATGGCCCACCCCTATCCAGTAGGAATGAGGCTCAAACAGCAGGTGGGATGTCTGCCCCATTAAAATGGACAGTTACCATTTTAATTATCCATTAAACAACCAAACCAAAACTCTAATGAAGTTCCCAAAGCATGTTGGTTTGGAAATGTCATTCTGAAACCACGCTAATGTCAGATAACCTCCTGTGAGAAACAAGATCTGAACTGGAAAGCTGTGGAACCAGTAAGACACTCCAGAGATGGGTGCTGAAGGGCCATCAGACGAAAACCAGGACACAAGGTCTCCATGGCTGTATTTCCCATCTTGGGAGCATGAACTCCGTTTGCTCAGACTAAACCACACAGTAGCTTGGGACGCGGGGCTGGGCTTCCGAGCCGACAAATGTCCCCGTGTATGAGGACAGGCAGAGCAAGCTGAAGCACATGAAACCACACATACCTGCTTGGCTGAGATGTGAGGATCCTCCCGGCACAGGACTCACCTGGAGGGAGTTCAGCATGATGAAGACATAGGCCCAGACGATGCTGAGGTGGACGAGGACCCCACACACCCAGGTGAGCCCCAGCACAGGCAGCAGCACCAGGACGGGCTTGGCTGTGGCCCTGCCGGGAAGAAGAGCTCGAGGTTACCTGGGCACGTTTCAAAGCTCAAACACTGTGCACTGGCACCCCCCTCCCAGCCCCCAGCAACCCATGGGGGTCCCTATCATGCCCCACGTCCCTGAGCCCAGAGTGTCCTGGCAACTGCCCCCAGTCAGCCAAACATCCCTCCTGACTCTGCAGACCCTGCCCAGGGTCTGGCCATGATCTGCCCGGGGCATCTGCACCAGGTTACACAGCTCACAAGTGGATCTGCCCTGGGAAGATCTCCAGGGGTTCAGGAGATGGCCTGCATCTCGCAGTTTGGAAGAGACCTTCCTTGCCTCCATGCCAGAGACAGCTCTCCTCCCCCAGCAAGTGACTTTCCATTGTGTCCACCAAGAAGCACCCAAGGCGGTAGCTACGGAACAAATTCCTTTGCAAACAAAATTAGTTAAGAGGGGAAAAACCAAACATTTCACCTCCCAGCCCCCAGCGTGCCAGCCCTGCTCTTTATCTATCTCTGAGAGTTAGCAAGAAGGGAGCCTTTGACGTCATTAGCCATGAGAAAGCAGCTATTTTCCCCCGATTGCTGCTACAAGGAGGGCTTCTGTATTTTTTTTATTAGCATATGGATGTCACCCTGCCCTTCGGCAATGCCCTATCTTTGTGCTTCTGTAAATTTGGGAAAATTTATTTATGATTCCGGGGAACAATGCGTGTCTAGCAGGGGTATGCGGCGCCAGCTAACAACAATAAAGGTTCGCAGAGGATGATAAAGTAATGACTCAAGCAGCAGTTTTTTAGAGGTCTCTCTATACTGACTGATTACAGGAGCTCAGCAGCACGGCGGGATGGTGACGGCGAAGGGGCGGCCGGCCGGGCACGGGCTCGGCAGTGGCACCGCGTTCCCACCCGCGCTAACGCCGCTGCAGACGACGGAGACACCAGCCCTTCCCGCACCCAAAGTGCTGCTCCTGGTGGTGCCAACGGGCCCAGGGTAGCTTTGATTTCAGCAGGCTCTGCCAAGGGTCTCCCGTCCCAAAGTGTTGAGACGTCGGGGTGTGAGCACAGCTGGAGTCCGGCACCGGGTTCCCCAGGCCAGACCACCCTCGGGTGACACACAGTTACCCTGGAGGAGAAAATCTTTTCCGCCCTGACTCCTCCAACTCATGGTCTCTCACTTCGCCAAGGCAAAGACTCTCAGCTTAACAGCAATTCCACCATTTCATACGGAGAGCAGCCACGGTTGGGAAAACCAGCCCCTTCCTTGCTCACCAGATCTGTATTCCAATCTGGTTCTCCAGGCTGCTGTTGGGCGTCAGCATCTTTGACCTCCTGCGAGCACTGGACACAGTCACCATCACCACCCGGAACAGCACGAAGGTGTTCACCTGTCAGAGAAGAGCCGTTGGACCCAGCAACCTTCTGCAGCCCCAGCTCCCACGGGGTGAGTCTTTTCTGCCGGGAGCTCAAAAACTAAGTGTCAGAACTTGGGGAAAAACATCACTCCTGAGAAAGCAGTGAATAAAATACATCACAGAGCTATCCACACAAGTATGAAATCTGTAAAACTCATCTCAAAACTTCTCCTACAGAGTGTCTGCCCTGTTAAGTGTCTACTCTGGACCTCTTTTATGCTGCACCTTCTTCTGCTCCTACGTTGCTGTATAACGATACTGATACTACCTCAAAGGCACAGATGTTCCCATATTAAAATCAGACCTTCAGTTAAGGCAACGTCACAGTCAACCTACACCTTTATCTACATTCCTAATTTAACAGCCAATACAAGAACTGGCCAGCAAAATTTTCTTAAAGCACTTTTTTTTTTCTATCAAAAAGCTGCTTTGGTTAAAGAGATTTATTTGTGTTGTGAAAGTACATACAAAGCATGACAAAAATTCTCCTACAAAAGCAGCAGGCACCATGAGCCCTGCAAGCAAGCACCTTAGCTGGAGAAGTGCTGACACCCTGGCTCTGCAACGCTCTCCTAAAACCAGACACGAAGGAATCACACCTTCCCAGCAGGTGTTGGCACTTACGGCCAGGATGAAGAGAACGGGCCCAACAAAGGCCCAGATGACGTTGGCCTGAACGTTCAGCCAGCAATGGTTGTCTGCCACGTACTTGTTAAAGGAAGTCGCAAGGGTGGCACCCACGATAACGACTGGAAGGCCTGCAGAAAAAAAGCACAAATTAAACCCTGGAAAATGCAGAGATGACCCATTTGGGTCAGCCGTGCTCTAGACAATTGCTTCAAAACCCCCGCAACCAGACGCACTCCAGCGTGAGCCAGCTCAGCCTCTGAAACCCCATGAGCAACATCAATTTACTGCAGCTGAAACCTGTCCTGGCTCTGCAAGACCAGATTTATACGCTGTCAGCATCATTCTCCCAGGTATAAAGCATTCCAAGTCCTGATCAAAGCAATTTACTCCTCAGATTGCTTTTTTAACAAAATGGACAATCAAAGACATAAACCAATCCACAATGTTTGAACCAGCTGCCCAGTGTCCAACTCGATGTGTGTTTTGTGAGGAGCGCTGAGCTGAAGAGGCTCCTCTTTGGTATGAAACTCTGTTTATTCAAATGAATTCTGTGTCCCTAAAGGGCTCACTCAGAATAAAGAGTGCTTCGTCAGGAACGCATTTGTATTTAAATTCCTATCAGATGGTAGCGATGCTCTCCAAGAACAAGAACTTACCACAAACTTCCTCCTCCATTTTTTTGTATCGAACTCTTGGATTTAGAAAAACAACAGAAATGCTTTTTAACTCCTATTCTAAGGCTGGCAATTTGACACAAAAAGGCAAGAAAGCCTCTGCAGAGCAGTGGCACCCGGCTCTCGTACTGAATCAAACCAAAGAGTCCAGATCTCTCCTATTGAACCTTTTGCTAGACAAAACAATGGACCCATTTCTCCGAGCACCCAACGCAGAGGAGTCTGTAGATACCCCAGCCCGTCACATAGTAGAACTTCATTCTCCTGTCTTCACTCATGTTGACTGCTACCACTTTGCTCCACAGGAGAAGCCCCTCTACCAGCATCCACGAAAAGGCTGCCATGAAGAAGAGGTGAAGACAGGCAGTGACCATGAAACACATCACCTGGAGAGGAGAGAAATCACACGCAGTTTCAGGAGGAGGAATCCTCTGGGAGCTCCCGAGTGCGTGTGATTGGGAAGAGAGTGCAACCTGCAAATTACGCTGCAGGATGTGCAGAAATGTAGTCAAACACCCACAAGCACCAGGAAGAGTTCTTAAAATTGAAGCACATGAACAATCCAAGTGCTGCAGCTCACACTCATTTCATCTGAGTGACCATCTCAAGCCACAGCAGAGGGAACTGACAGCGTCTTTTCCCACAGTTCTTGGACTTTCCTTGCAAGTCTCTCATCTCAGAGCTGCTTGATCCAGCCCTGGGATGTGGAAAAGGACACAGAACTGCATGTTGCTGTTTTATAACCACTGAAATTTCCTGAAGGATTTTTTGTCAGAAACAGTCAGAAGAAAGAGGTGGATTTTCCGGACAGGTTGCACAATGCCTACATGCCTATCTCCAAACACAGAGACACATTTCTTTCCTAGATGCAAGTTACAGGTAATTCATGAAACATTAATAAAAAGGATTGCACTTTTGTTCTGTTTGCTTTGACAACAACGCTTCAGCAGGCCAGGTCCTGCTGGTGGAACGGGACATGTTCTGAGGACCTTACCTGGTTGGTCTTGGCCAATTCACTGAACATGAGCAGAGCTTCTGCTGCAGCTAATGCAAAGATCAGGTTCTTGTGCACGGTTGTCCGTTCGCTCTTGGGGACACTGAGGAAGGAGAGGAGAATCTCAGCTGTGGCCAAATGAAAGGGTGCAGATGTTCACTAGTCCCTGCTGGGCTGTGCAGACCTGCCTGGGTGACCTGTGGTCTCTCTGCTACTCTCTGCAGAGAGGACAGCCCGGCGAGGCAGGGGGCTGTGCTGCTGTGGGAGCACTGGGGCCGGGGACACGCTCGGGCACAGCGCACG